ATGGATGGATGGATGGATGGATGGATGGATGGATGGATTTCAAAGGTTGAAAGGAGGCATTATAGGTCAGTAGAGAGATACTCTTTTAAAGAGAAAAGAGCATGGCTCTCACAGACTTCTGGATTCAAATGTCAGCTTGATCACTTATCAGCTGTGTAATTTTGGATGATGTACTTAACTTTTCTGAGCTTCAGTCTTGTGATCTGTGAAAAGGGGATGATTGGGGCATATCCCTCAGAGGGTCTTTAAAATTATTCTATGAGGTGCTGCATCTGAAATATTCAGCACAGTGTCTGGCCCATGTTATCCTTGAAATTGTCACTATTAACAAAAACCACACTGGCCATATTTATTTCAACCAGTCACTTTGTGACTTCAACAGGAAATGTGTTCATTGGGTTCTTTTGAGAGCACAGAATCAGCAGAAACCCTTGACTTCTGGGATGTGAAGACATTATTGCTTTCTGTGGGTGCCATTGATCAAAATAATCTCTTCTGTCAATCCCAGGGATTGAGAATAGCTGAAGCAAAAACTCCCATTTGAAAATCTACGCTTGCTATCCATTTCTTCCGAAACAGTATGAATATTCTATAACTGGATATATGACTGTTTTTTTTTTCTTTTTGACATGTAAGACCTTTTAAAATCTGGCCCAGATGTACCTGTAGCTTCTTCCATCACTCCCTCCCAAGTCCCCTCCCTTCCTAACACACTGACCTACCCCCACCACCCCATTCCCAACAAAGCGGACACTTTTCAGCGGCCCTAACCTCGAACATGCTATTTCCCCCGTCAGGAAGGGCCCGGCCCCCTTTTTAAGCTGGGCAAACATCCTTTGCAATCCAGAAGCTGAGGCCATGCCAGTCTTTACCCAGTTTCCCAGCCAGGGAGTTAGCTCCAGTCTCTGGGCATCCTCCATACATGGTGACATGTCAGTTTCCCCCGACCGGTTCCTGAGCCCCTCCGAGTAGACACCACACCTTTCTCATGACTGTCTTCCCATCATACAGCACAGTGTATACAGCAGTGTATACAGCAGTTGTCCATAATTGCACATTGAATAAAGAGAGCAAAATTCCAAAGCGGCCACAGATTATGCTATGGACAGGACAGGACCTCATGCCCCTGGAGGCAGGTGTCATCCCCCCTGCTTACGGTCACTGGTCACTGGCTACTGGTCACTGTATTACTCACCATCCATTGTACTAATACAGCCATTTATGAAGGACCTTCTATGTACCAGACCTGGCACTTCACATCGATTACCTTGTACGATTCTCACAACGACCTTGGAGGTAGTTATCCATCCTAACTCAAATTCACAGATTAAACCAACAGTGTGACTGTGGCCACAGAGGGGTAGGTAGTGGAAACAGGGCTCAAGACTCTGGTAGAACTAGCACCGTGGCCTCGAGACCAGTCCTTCCTCGGGCTTTAGGGAGCATCGGAGCCCCCTGGGGGCTTGTAGAGATGCAGGCATAGATTCAGCAGGTGGGGTCAAAGATTCCAAGTTTCTCACAGCTCCCCGAAGTGATGTTAATGCTACTGAACCACGCCTGGGATATCAAGGCTCGGAGCCCATGGTCGCCACACCCTTTTGATAATATGCCCTATCAACAAGAGTTTGAACATGTGCCCCCAAAATGCGTATTTCTGTATTTGTAAAGCGAAATACACATACAACTGTATTAATACACTAGGTACTTTTTCTTCAGCTGTTCATAACATGTAATTGCAAAACCAAAAATAGGACTTTAGAAGGAAAAGAACAAACACGGCATACGGTGGACGTTCTAATCTTTGCTTCCTGGCGGTTTATCTTGTATCTTGGTCTACCCTCCACACCTCTTGGGACTCACTGCAAAGGCCAGCATATTCTCAGCCCAGTTTTGATGCTTTGCCCAGCACTCAGGCCAAGGTGAGCAAACCTAGCTACTAACGTGACAAGGTGCTTTTGGCCTCAGCAATCGGGCGCAAAAATTGGATGCAAAGAGGTCTAAATTTATAAAGCATCTGAAATTATAGGAATGTGCCTGTATAGGCGTGACCATTGGTATAGAGACTCTCAAAATCTGAATAAGATTTTTTATACAATAGGCATGCCGACATCTGTGTGTGACTTGGGAGTGGTCAGCCTGTTGATGGGACCTGACACTTCAGTGGAGAATCCCAGTCATGGAGGGCAGGGGCAGGGGGGGGGGGGGGGGGTCCTCCCAGGTGTTCAAACAGGATACTCCTGGTCTCGCCACATGTTCCTATGATCCAACATCCTAAAATCTCACTTTCTGCTCAAGCCTACACTCTGGCTAATGTCAACATCGTCTGATTAATTTCAGCATTAGCCAGAAAGGCGTGGACAATGTTGAACATTGCAAAGAATGGATTGAGAGATGTCTTTGGGCTTGAACAGCTGTACTGTTACCTGTAATACCTAGCAACTGCTGGCTACGGAGGTTCTCATTTGATAATAACAATGCTGAATCCGCCTTGTTCTTTCCAGCTGCTGGTGTGGCCACTTGGTAATGAGCCATTTGAAGTTCGGACAGAGTCAGCCTCATTTTGCATCTGCCTCATACACCACAGCTTTCCTCTAAGTCCACCTGCCACAGAGCCGAACTTACAGACCTCCTTCAGCTGTTCTCCAATTAGTCCTATAATGAAACCCCTCAAGTGAAGTAAAGGCACTTCCTGAGGTCTGGAGGACCTAGCAGTGTCTTTGTAAGGAGGATCATAATCCGTGTTGGTTAATCCAATGGTGGTGCACCTAATTTAGGAGAGATTACTCAAGTGTTAGCCATAGTGGGCAAGAGCCAGGTCATACCCACGTGACAGGCTTCATCGGTCCTGAGATCATGCTTTGCACACAGACGACATCCAATTAAAATCTGAGGCACTGATTTAAATAATCGATCATATGAACATTAAAAATGAACTACATTGGGGTGCCTCAATGGCTCAGTCGGTTGAGCGTCCGACTTCGGTTCAGGTCATGATCTCACAGTTCCTGAGTTCGAGCCCCGCGTCGGGCTCTGTGCTGATGGCTCAGAGCCTGGAGCCTGCTTCAGATTCCGTGTCTCCCTCACTCTCTGCCCCTCCCCCACTCATGCTCTGTGTCTCTGTGTCTCTGAAAAATAAATAAATGTAAAAAAAAATTTTTTTAATAAAACTAAAAATGAACTACATTGGGGCACCTGGGTGGCTCAGTCGGTTAAGCGTCAGAGTTTCGGCTCAGGTCGTGATCTCACAGCTCGTGAGTTCAAACCCTCCGTCGGGCTCTGCGCTGACAGCTCAGAACCTGAAGCCTGCTTTGGATTCTTCGTCTCCCTCTTTCTCTACCCCTCCCCTGCTCATGCTCTGTTTCTCTCTTTCTCAAAAATAAATAAACGTTTTAAAAACATGAACTACATTAACTTCGCCAACACCCAACTGTGTGAATGTGGGGAAGTCACTTCGTTTCTACGAGCGTTGGCGTTCTGGTCTGAACGTTCGCATCCCCCCTCTCCCCCAAATGTATTGTATTGAAGCCCTGACCCCTAAAATGATGGTACTTGGAGGTGGGACCCTTGGGAGGTGATTAGGTTTCAAAGAGGTCATGAGGGTGGGGCCCTCTGGATGGGATTAGTGTCTTTATAAAAAGAGCACTTTCTCTCTGCCGTGTGAATACACAGTTCCTTCTGCAATGCAGGAAGACAGCTCTCAGCAGGAACGGAATCAGCCAGCACCTTGATCTTGGACTTCCACCCCCCCAGAGCTATGGGAAATGCCTGTTGGTTAAGCCTCCTAGTCTACAGTACTCTTGCGGCAGCCCAAGCCGACTAATGCATCCGCGTGCCTCGAGCATTGAAGGGACATATACCTGTCCGTATCTGAACTCCACTCCAGCTCAGACACTCAGTACACGCCTACGAGACATCTTTTTTATAAAGGCACAAATTCAGCTCTCCACGGGGTGTAACTCACATGCTGGGACCTTGCTTGGCTCTGTCCGGGTGCTTTCCAGTTCTTGACCAGCCTCATTCACACACCAGCAGCTCCGAAGGTCAAGGTGTGCCTGAGGAGTGCTGAAGTCTGAGTAGGGCCCTGGGTACCGGCTGAGCTGGCCATTCAGGATCTGCCAAAAGACGGAGGGCTCCAGGAGGACGTTCCCTCCAGGCTGGGTCAGGTTCCCTTCCATCACTGCCAGCGGGACGTCTGGGAAAGAAGGGTATCTCTCCAGCCCTGGGAAGATGCCCTGTTGGCCGGCCTCATACAGACTCTGAATAAAGAGACGAAAGCTTCTGGAAGCTGCTTCTTTATAGCTCATGATCTTCATGAGCAGCTCGGCAGGGGTCAGCTCCCGGCCACCGTTGTTCTGAGCTGCCCATCGTTCGTACCACTCGAAGGCCTGCTCTGGGGGCCCATCGCATTGCACGGGCCTCCACTGCCCACCGGTGCCGCACTGCGGGATGTAGATGCTGGCGAAGGTGGGCAGCAGGCTGGAGTCAGAGCCCAGAGCTCGCACTGTGCGCAGAAAGGCCTGCTCGGCCTGTAACTGACAGGCGGTGGGGCCTGGGAGGAACAAGGAGGAGGTATGTCAGGTAAAGAAGTGCGGGGAGCCCACGAGGCCAAGATGCAAACCCCTGACGGTCCAAGCCCCATCTGAAACCTTATACGGCCACAGAAATCCCAGCAGCCTCAAATCTGTAAATAACATCTAGACAGAGTGCATCCCCGTCACTGAAACGGCACTGTTGAGACTGTTGTCTGCTCTGCAGAAACCTATGGGGCAGCCCCTAAAAAGCCAAATGAGTCTCCCTATTCCATCCCGGGAATGGTTAACTGTATCGACCCGCTTCTGGACAATCTTTACGTTAAGTGGCAAGTTTTCGCCACTGCAGAAGTCGGGGCTTACGCGACAATAGAATTCACTTTTTCCGTAATGCACTGAGTCGGGGCCCCACAAATCAGGGTTTGTGGACTGAACACGCAACAGACTCACATTGCTTGGGTTCTCCAAGTACGCTTCGAGTTCCAGGAATAGGCTGACCCTCACGGTCAACGCAGTAACACTCAGAGCCGAAGCACTGGACGGGGAGGAAATGCCCCTCGCTGGTGCAAGAAGGGACCAACAGGCTGGACCCCGCGGGCTGGCTGCCCTCGAGGGTTTGCATGCGGGCCCTCTGCTTCTCACACTCCGTGGGACATCGGGGGCGTCCGCCTCTGACCCTGGAGCCAGAAAGTTCTTTGCCCCGGGAATCCACACACCAGCACTCCCCGGCAAAGCACTGCACGTCCTCGTAGTCTCCTTCCGCCGAGCACAGTGGGACGAAAAGGCTGCCCGGCGTCTGCCCGCAGCCCTGGGAGCCGAGCACCATTTCCATCACGTCACCTAAGTCCTTCGCTGTGTCTTCGGGCACAGAAATGGCATGCTGCAAGAAGAGAGAGAATTCTGGAAGCTCCAGGAGAGACGCGAGGAATGCCAGGGCGTTCTGGTTCTCTTGTAAGTTGATCTCAAAGCCAAAGCTGCCCACCATCGGCCTGTTCCTAGCAGCTCCCTTCACTGAGGCTTCGGGGGGGTCTGCGGCAGGGTTTGAATCCAGTCCCAAGGACAAAGCCTTGGCAGCTAGGTCGGTCCCTCCGTTCTGGAAGCCCGGGAGGCCAAACTGCCGGAAAAATTGACCGAAGTTAAATGTGCCTTTTGTGCCAAGGGCTCCAGACAAGTTGAACTGGCCAACGTTCACCAAAAATTTCCCTCCAAAGAGGTTTTGCTGGAGTCGCTTTGGGTCCATGGTAAACTGAAGGGCAAGACGAGCCAGCTCTCGGGAGGGAAAAATCGCTCCAATGGCTTCTCTGAGGAGAGTTTCTGAGGCAGAAAACTGTTTACCCTGCCCTTCTCCCATCGGGTGGAGAATCCCAGAGTCCACAAAGAGCTCCTTCACCAAGGGCGGGCAGGATGTGGCAAATCTGGCTACTTTCTGGGAGACCCGTCTTCCCTCGGGAGCCAAGAACAAGCCGTGCTGGCTGAAATAGCCCGAGGGCCCAAAGTGTAGTCTAGACAGGGCCTGCCTCCTCTCAGAGGCGCAGGATTGGTCTTCAGCTGCACAAGACAGAGCAAACGGGAGAAACGGTTTTAACATCAACAAGTACTCCTGAGACAACCCCCCAAATCCTTCTCGAAGTAAGATGTCCAACAGTTCAGTCAAGAACACCTACGTTTTGTACCTCTGTCTTCCCTGCCTTTTTATTTATTTTTTTTCTTTCCCCCAAGCAGTGTCTGTGGCGGCCGTTTGGGGGAATGAAGGTTCCAGCTGACGTGACTTCCCTTTCCACCTTTCACGGGAGGGTGACCCCCTTGTGAGTCAAGGCTCGTTGGTGCCCGCCCACTTTCGGAAAAGCTGACCAAATGCATGCCCCAGATGTACTGGGCTGAACGGTGTCCGCCCATCCTCCTCAAGCCCAATGTTCACGTCCACTGAGGACCTCAGAACATGACATCACTTGACAGTAGGGTCTTTGCCGGTGCTGTCGGTTAAAATGAGGTCACACTGAACTGGGGCGAGCCCTAACTCCAATGATGGATGTGCTCGTAAGACGGCCACGTGAAGATGGGGTCGCAATGTCAAAAGAATGCCAAAAAAGAATACCAAAAGCCAAAGAAAGCCAAGGTCGCTGGAAGCCCCCAGAAACTGGACAGAACAAAGATACATCCTTCTCTAGAGCTTTCAGAGAGAGCCCAGCCCTGCTAAGACCTCAGTTATAGATGTCTGGCCTCCGGACTGGGAGGGGATAAATTTCTATCGGATGAAGCCACCGAGTTTGTGGTAATTTGTGACGGCAGCCCTCGGGAACTCATACACCAACAAATTCCTATTTGTTTTCGTTTTATTCTTTTAAACACATTTTTAATGTTTACTTATTTTTGAGAGATAAGAGAGACAGAGTGGGAATGGGAGAGGGGCAGAGAGAGAGGGAGACACAGAATCCGAAGCAGGCTCCAGGCTCCGAGCCGTCAGCACGCAGCCCGACGCGGGGCTCGAACCCACCACCGGCGAGATCATGACCCGAGTTGAAGTCGGTTGTTTAACCGACTGAGCCACCCAGGAACCCTATTTCCCATTTGTTTTGTAACGAAAAAAATTTTTTTCCAGCATTCTCTTGTTGGAATTTTTAATGGACTTTAATGCTTCATTATTTGCTCTTCGTGCGGCTGCCTAATCCCTCCTTGTGGGTAGGCTTGTCTAGGCTAACTAATTGATAGTCTCTTTGAAGATAAGAACCATACTTTAAATGCCATGAGTATTTCCTATAATAAGAAACATTTCCTAGGTTGTAATATCTAATATTATAACATACTGTAGGAAATATATTTCCCAAAATATAATACAGTAATGTCTATGCAGCAAACACACTTAGCACATTTTTCTAGCCTTCCTGATCTTTCCTTGAAATTATTAATTAAAGGGTGATCAACTCAGTCAACTCCATGCCTGGTCAGGTCATTCAGTCTGAATATTCTAGTGGACAGTAATCACATTAAGAAAAAAGGCCTTAAATTCAAATTCCAAGTGTCTCCGTCACTCGGGTGGAATGAACTAGGCTCCACGTTTCTCTGTAAAACCATAAATCTCAGCGGTCCTTCTCAACCACCCACCCACCCACCGCCAACTTAATTCTTTTCCTTCGGTTCACGCGGATGCCAAAAAGGAAGTCAGCCAATTTCCCTCTGTCACCAGGCAACAGAGAAAGAACTGGAACTTGTAGTCGGAGAGAGAAAAAATACTGGCAACATCAGAACCCGTAACACATTCCTCAACCAGGCATGGCTTCCTTGAATGGAAGGTATTACAGGAAGGTATGGAAGAAATAAAGTTCACTGCTGTCTTATTCTGTTTCGACATGGAGAGCATATCCCTTCCGTTCATTTGTTATGTCGTGTTACCAGGGCAAAAAGAAAAAAATGCAGATCTCAGCTCCATGTGGCATTCGTTTCCACGGAAATAGGACTGATACGCCAGAGAGGAAAAAATAAAAATATATGATGCACGCATTTGGTAGCATTCTGGTTTTAATTTGGAAAACCATAGTTCTTTGTGTCCACCTGGAAACTGGAGGGCACCATACTCTCTAGGTTTTAAGACAACGACAATGTAATCATAAATACCCTCAGGGCAGCGCTTGAAATTTTTCTTCTTCTAGATTCCCACGCTTAGTAGACTGAATACTACCAAACGCCGAGCAGAATACTCAAAATGTGAAGCTGGAGAAATCAATGACTTAACAGGAATTATTGAATGAACACGAATGCTCATCTGTGTCAAGGCTATAAAAAGACCTGCCCTCCTCCTTCACTGAGACCTTGCGGGATCCATCCAGCTCACCCAAGTGGGAAGCCTACAAGCGCTCCTGGATTTCTCCATGCCCCTCACCCCTAACTCCCTTCAGGGTCTCAGTGGTAAAATGGAATGGCCTCACTGGAGGGCCTTGTGACATTTCGCAAGTCCACACCCTTCTCCCCAGACCACTGCTGCTACTTCAGTGTTGGTCCCTGTACCAGGTTGAATCGGGTCTCCTCAAAATGCACATCCTTCCTGGAAACCTCAGAATGTGACCTTATTCAGAAATAGGGTCACTGGAGACATAATTAGTTAAGGCGAGGTCATACTAGGGTAGAGCGGGCTCTTAAGTTTATATTACCGGTGTCGTCGTAGGAAGAGAGGAAGAGACACAGAGGCAGACACAGAGGGAAGACAGCCATGTGACGACAGAGGCAGAATTTGGGGCCACGTTGCCACAAACCAAGGAATGCCAAAGATTGTCGGCAACTATCACAAGCCAGGAAAAAGGCCAGGAAGGATTCTGCCCTGGAGCCTTCAGAGAGGGAACATGAGCCTGGTGACACTTTGACTTCGGACTTCTCGGCTCCAGAACTATTGTTCTAAGCGCCTGAATTTGCGCTCATTCGTCACAGCAGCTCCAGGAAAGTAATATGGTCCCCTCATCTCTCTTCAGGACACTGCAACGACCTTCAAATTGGCCCCGTGGCCTGCAGCCTAACACCGATTTCACGCTCTCCTTCAAAGTGCCCGGGGGGTCTTTCTTACACACAGAACCCACCATGGAACTCTCCAGCGTAAAACCCCTCAACGTCACCACCTGGCCTCCAGGAAGAAGTCCCCAAGCCTTTGCTTCGGTGCGAAGGACCTCACTGTCTCATCCCCGCCATTTTGTCCCAGTCCTGTAGTGCAGAGCCCCACCCTGACCACACTCAGCAATTTATTTCTCTACTCTTCTTGAAGATTCGGTGCCCAGTAGCAGAGCAATGCCTATCATTTATGTCCTTATACCTCCCTGCTCTATAGATAGAGAACACCTCTTCTTACTTTCCTCCTTCAAAAAACGTCGTTATCTTAGAAGACTCTAGCCAAGTATCACCTCTTCCATGAAGCCTTCCTGAATGTCTCCTCTTCATACACTTTCACAAGATCAAATTGACCCTACCCTGCTCTGCGATGCTTCTCTCGTGGCACAAGTAAACAAAATTCTGTTTTTCCTTCACCTGTGAGGCCCCCCGATATCCCCTGGGCTCGCTGAGGAAGGAATCGACCACGTCTGACACAGGATGAGAAACACGTCAGAAGTTAATGGCGGTAAGTGGGTTTTCCACCGTGGTGGGCTCGAAGGGCCTCTGGGTACGCTCAGGAGGCAGTGGAATTCACGGGTTCTGGAGCGGGTGGTCTGGAGAAACAGTTAAAGTAATACGACCCGACGGGAGCAAAAGAGGAGGCTGTCGAGAGGCAACCCACCACACGATGGCCGCTCCCCTTGCCGCCGAGTTCCATGGATCTCCTTTCCTTGGGCGTCCACACACCAGCACGGCCCTGCCCGCTGGCACTGCACCGCCTCGTAGTCCCCGCTCCGGCGGCAGCTGGGAACGTAGGGGTGACCAAAGCTGGTCGCTGTGAACCGCTCCATTTCGCATTTTGTGGGGCCTAGGGCAGAGCCACGCGGGAAAAGGAGAGGACAGTGTGTGAACAGGGCTATGGTCTTTCCAGCATGCACTCTGTGTGCTTTCACAACGTTGTAAATCCTCAGGGCGCCTGGGTGGCTCGGCGGGTTAAGCAGCCGACTCTTGATTCCGGCTCAGGTCGTGAGTTTGAGCCCCGCACCCGGCTCTGCGCTCACAGCGCGGAGCCTGCTTGAGATTCTCTCTCCCCCTCTGTCTCTGCCCCTCCCCTGCTTGTGTGCACGCTCTCTCTCTCGCTCTCAAATTAAAAAAAAAAACCCGCCCTGGTTTTAGATCCTTGCACCCACTTAGGCAAAACAGCCACAGAGACCGCAGCAACTTTAAAACCCAGCGGTTTCTTCCAAGCAGAAACACGCACGTCTGCTGTCGGCTTATTACTTACATCGGAACCGGCCAGAGATGAGGAGCTGAACCGCTAGGAACCGTCTCTGCAATATCCGGTACAGGGTGGTTTCAGTGAAGGTGGAAGCGAGGTCCAGGCCAGCAAAGATGGTGTCATAAATTTCGTCAAGCAACAGCTCCAGACCTGAGCAAAGGCAGAAGCGTTTCAAGGGACGGGTTCGTTCCGAAAGGCAAGTCCTGACTCTGCTGTTCAAACAGACCTCAGGAGGCCCAGAGCCTTCCTGGGCATCGTAGGCATCGGGCCTGATCAAGGTTTTAATAGTGTGCAAAGTCAAGGCTGCCCTGTACGGTTGTGCAGGTTGTTCACGGCACAAAGGAGCACTGCTAAGAGGAAAGCCATTCTGTCCTCCACTCTCCAGGTTGGGAGCTGCATCTGCCCAGAGCGGGGCGCCTCTTTCCAGTGCGCACAGAGGCTCCATATGGGCCAGCAGCTGTGTCCAAGGCACCAGAGATGAGCATTTGCAAACTGTGCGGCTTAGCCGGGGAGCAGCCAGACGCTGCTCTTTCTGCTTGGCAGGTAATGATATTCAGGCTTTCGGGTTTGGGAGGTGCCTCTCACCCACCCCCCTCAGTTTGCCTGAGGTGCGCTTACCTGTCTCAGCCAGTTCCCGCCCTTGACTGTCAGCACAGTGACAATACCCAGACACTTCAGGGAACTTGTTCCGGAAGGCACTGAAGGTCACGAATGCATCTGGAAACCTAGGAGAGAAGGAGATGTCTGCTCCCTGCTTCATCAAATCCTCACGAGCGCCGCTCACAGAAATAAATAAACGTGGCCTCATCTCATCTGGGGAGAAGGAATGTCTGCTTTTTTATCTCATGCCATTTGCTCTCTGTTTCTTGCAGGAAATGTGTTTCTTTTCTCAACCGGGTTTTCACCTGGCCCGAGCTCGGCTGGACAGATGAAAAACAAAGCTGTGCTCAGCTGTTACCTGCTCACTAGTCATTTCCCTCACATGTGGCATTTCACCAACACACCCACGCGTGTGTCTCACGGGGTCAGGCAGAAAACAGGTAATGAACGGCGCATGACCGGAGCGTAACTTTACTAGACTGTAACTCGAGGGACCAAAAGCCAAGTTGGCTTTACAAACATATGGTACATTGTGGATGATCTCATTGGGGGAGATCAAACAACTTCAGAGCCCTTTATGACTTTTCCAGAGCTTGAAAAGAAGCCAGATTCCACCCTAGGAAATTCTTAAGGACATTTCCCGCTCCATAGTTGAGAAAAACAACACAGAATCAATATGACGCCACTACAAGGGCTATGCGTGCCTCTCCATACGTGCGGGGAGAGTGTGCCCAAGCCACGTCTGACCTGGCAGGTTTCATAAGGAGCTAATTCGCTGGGTTCCCCATCCTGGAAGATGAAGCTGAGGTGACATGAAACTTTATTAAAGAGTTCTTTCCGTGTGCAGTGATTAAGCAACCGGAGAGGCGCTTTTCATTGTTATGCGACATTGAGAGATTCGTTTCCGTGCCCTGGGGGGTTGGCACACCTACCTATGTCTGGAAATACATCCCCAAACAATGAGTTCGAGAAAGCGGCAGCTCTCTGCACAAACAGATCCATTGCTGTGTGATCCGTTCCAGCAAAATACTGAAAACAAGCTCAGTGTCCAACGATAGGAAAATGAAGATGCAAATTATAGTAAGTTTCCTAAATGGATGCACGCGTAACACTCCGCGAAGACAGCAGCTTGCAAAATGGCCTGTACATACACCACAACGACCTCAACGGAAATGAAGCAGCATTGGAAGGCAACAGGCAACCCAGGAATCACTCAGAGCCTGAACGGGGGGCGTAGAAGGTACTAGCTAATTTGCATGGCAATGAATAGGCAACAAGCTTACAAGAGCACTGTGAGGTTATGGATTGTTTTCTCCATGCCTTTGATCATTGTGTATCTATAAGCTAAATAAAAAGGGGTGTTGTAGGGGCGCCTGGGTGGCGCAGTCGGTTAAGCGTCCGACTTCAGCCAGGTCACGATCTCGCGGTCTGTGAGTTCGAGCCCCGCATCGGGCTCTGGGCTGATGGCTCAGAGCCTGGAGCCTGTTTCTGATTCTGTGCCTCCCTTTCTCTCTGCCCCTCCCCCGTTCATGCTCTGTCTCTCTCTGTCCCAAAAATAAATAAACGTTGAAAAAAAAAATTAAAAAAAAAAAAAAAAGGGGTGTTGTAGTAAGTGAATTCTGCGTAACAGAAACTAAAACCTCCCTTCACCCAGTCGTCACGGATTAGAGGTATATAATAAAAACAAAAAAATGAATTGAAACCTGAGATAATACATTCTCTCTCTTTTTTGACATTTATTTATTTTTGAGAGAGAGAGAGAGACGGAGTGTGAGCAGGGGAGGGGCAGAGAGCGAGGGAGAGACATAATCCAAAGCAATGTCCAGGCTCTGAGCTGGCAGCACAGAGCCCGACACAGGGCTCGAACCCACCAACCGCGAGATCATGACCTGAGCCGAAGTCGGATGCTTAACCCACTGAGCCACCCAGGTGTCCCTGGGGTAATTCAATTCTAAGAGAGGTGACAGTAGTATAATAATCACTTCCATTCGTTGCACACTATCTTGTAAAAGACAACCTGCCAAATGTTTACTACATATTGACTTGTTTAACCCACTTAACACTCCTAAAAGGCAGGTGGACTTTTTTGGTACCCATTTTAGAGGTTAAGAAAGTAAAGTATGCTGGCCACCATCTTGAAATAGCGGTGGGAGACAGACTGCAAACCCAGGTCTTACGCCCCACGTGATGCCTCTGTCTGCCAGTGGTGTTCTTCACTGGGTGTTGGCTGCACCTGGTTCCCGTCGCACTTTCTCAGAGGCACACGACTCTTCTTGTGTTCGGACACTCTCCCCTGTGTGCCCTTTCCCAATAGCTAATAGATGTGGAACACACACGCGCTGGAGAACACAGGAATGGGCCACCTGGCTGGCCCCGGGTTCCGAACCCGTAACAACAGGAGACACGGGAGGTTCCAGTCACTCTAGTCCCACGTTCTGCCAATTCACCCCAAAGGCCCTCTTCAGCGTCATGTCCCGGGACCGGTGCCAGCAGAAGGAATTCTGAGCCTTCTTCATCCCACTACTTTGGGGGCAGAGTCCTCCTCCCTCGGTTTCCGGCCTTAGAAGCTACCCACTTCCTGGACCTCCATGTGCTTTTTGCATGGACCTCACGGTCGCTGTCCCCGCTTCTTGCATACTGGAGATCACTGTGGCTTTAGCTGGAGGGCGTCCTCCCAGGAAACCCCCCTGCACCATCGCCTGTAACCCCTCCTTGCCAATTCTGCGTGCACTGAAAAGAGTCCAGAGCTCCGGCCTTGGCCTAGCCACATGTGGTCACTGCCGTTAACCACTACGAATGAAAATAATAACGGGGGGAACGTACTGGACGACCCAACACTGCACCAAGCACCCTCTTCACTCCTTCTCAGTCCTCACGACAACACTTAGAAAGCTGCACTTTGCAAACGAGAACGCTGGCCCTCGGAGTGGTGAACAGACTGGTTTAAGATCACCCAGCCCAGACCCGGGGGTGGGCGTCCGCAGCTGGTGGGAAGGGGGGCTGCCTCTGAAACGGAGCCTGGTCCTCAGGGGACCCCGCCCCGCACCCAATGGGAAGTTCAAGCTCTGAATCTTCCTCGATCTCCTTAGTTCCCAAAGTCCGATATGATACAATCTGATTTTTGTGGCTGATCTCTGAAACGGTACCACCGCTGTGAATTTTGGACTCTTCCCCCAGGGTAGCAGGTGACGGCGTAGAGGGTGGCTTTGTAGCTGCTTCTGCTATCGTCACTGGTGCTTTCTGGGCGGCCAGGACGGGAGGGCCTTGGCCGTGCTTCCCACCTCCTGCTCATTGGATTCCCAACCCTTCTCTGCCACCCCAGCAGAAGTCCAGCCACTAACACTGAACCCGAAGTCCACGGGAAAGGGAGAAAGGTCCCATCCTCACACGTGGGCCAGCTAGGTTTGGAACCTGCTGTAAGGCCAAAGAAGGCTCCAGAGGATGTGAGCCTTGAGTGGGATTGCAAAGCTAAGAACGATGAATTGACAAGGAGAGAATGGAGAACACGTCTACAAGGATCTTTAGCCCGTCTCCAACTCCAAAGTGGGGGCAGAGGATGACAGTGTGGGCGGAAGGATTAGCTGAGAGGCTGGTAGTCACCGGGGCAGCGGCGGGGGGGGGGGGGGGCCGGCACAGGTCCGGAGGAGAATGTCGGAACCCAAGCATCTCTGTCATGGACACACCGTTCCTGAACGTGCCCTGCCCACTCCCCTTCTGGGCATGGGGCTAAGGAAACTGACTGTCCTGTCTGTCTCTGTCCGGTCAAGTCACGGAGGACCCTACGGCACACGGCATCACCCCCTTTTATGAGGATCCGAAAAAGCTTTGCCCATCTTGAATAGAAGAACAGATTGTGTTCTTCTGAAAAACAGGTTTCCTTTTATCTGGCAGAAACCAAATAACTTAGACTGTTTTCTCTTGCTCTGGTTCTAAGGCTCCCAGACATAAGTAAGCAGCCGCTCATACCTGTGATAAGAATACTTTATAGAATGAACCGTATGTGCAACCTTTGCCTTGGCTCCTTCGTACGTTCTACTCTGATTTTGCCTTCCCTACGATTTCCTCTCTCTTCCTTTTCTCTCCTGTTCTGGGCGTGTCAGAAGAAAAGAGGAAGCGAAAATCAACACAGAGCTTGAAAACCAAAAAGGACATATTTCACCTAGTGAAAAAGGATGTGCCGTTTTTGTTGAATAAAAAGGAACAGCTCAGAATGATCGTAAGAAAGTGTTCAAGGGAGAAAATTGTAGCGCGGGGGGGGGGGGGGGGGGTAGACAGGATGGTAGGCCTGGTGCCCTCACATGGTGGCCAGCCCAGCGTTGGAGAAATCACGGCTATGGTTCAGTGGAACACGAAACGTCAGGCCCTGGCAGGCGTCTGGTCCTGGTCGCATACAGAGCGGCCCCCGTGCCCTGGGCTCAGGTAGCTGATACCATGGCTCAGTCAGATTCTCCATGCCACCCCCAGACGAACCCTCCAGAAACCTAGCCATCCCTTAACAAATTAGCAATTAGTTTGGCTGTCTCCTGTGCCCGAAGAGTACCCCTTGAAGTAGGAGCTCTGACCCAGCACGGATGTCTCCGATGGTCAGTCTACAAGGACTTCTCCACATATTCCGGTAACGATGACCCTTGGCGACGCATTAAGATGTATCTGATCCTTCTCCCTGGGTTATCTGACTAGCGGGGGTTACATCCTTGGTAAGACTGGTTGCTAAGAAAATTTGAGTTTGCTTAGTCACTAAAGACGGGGCCTAAGAACAAAAACAAATTAACTGAATTTTAGCTCAGACCACTAAGGCCTTGGCAATGGCATCGGCTTTTAAGACCTTTACGTACAAAGCGTTTCCCTAGTTAGTGGTTGGACGAGGGCAACACGAAAGGCAGGGAAGAGTCGGGAGACCTACCAAAGCTTACTCACCACCACACATGGTTTTTCTAAGTCACCAGCCGAATAGGTGTAGTGAGCCGTGGCCTTCCGGAGGCAAAGGACCTCCTCAAATGCACAGACACTGCAGCCACGTTCAAGTACAGGTCGTCACCCAGCACGTCTAAGAACCCACAGCAGGTTGGCAGATGAGCCCCACCCCCCCCAGGCTTCCAGCCTCCCCTCCAGGTCCCATGCCAGTAAGCCAACCACTTCGTGTCACATCTCCGCTGGAATTTCCCGAAGAAACCCTCTCAGACTCAATATTCCACGATCCCACTTGTGACTTTCCTTTTCCAAACTCATCCTGCACCATCCGTCTAGAAGCCAGACTTTGGTTTGATTCTTCCTCCCTCTCACCCTCCACCTTCAATGAGTGCTGTGGATTCTATCCTGTGTAGGCTTCTCCCGCCGCCCTGTCTCCCCCACAGTCCCCCCCCCAATCACGTGTTCTAATCCACGCCTACGTCGTCTCTCACCTGGACCAGTGCAGGAGCCTCCGGGCTCACAGAGCTCCCCCCACCAGCACCCACTTTGCTCTTCCCCAGCCAGTCCATTCTATCCTAAACTCAAGGCATACCCAATCTCCGTCCCCAGGCTCAAAATTCTTGATGCAGTGTTGGGGACATACTAATACTAGAAAAATTACTCCTTGCTTATCTGAAATTCAAAGAGAACTGGCCGTCCTTTGTTTTATCAGCAGCCTTAGGTACGAAGTCTAGACTCTCTACACGGCCTCTGTGGCTCCTACCATCATGCGCCGTAGAGCGGCTGGGCCTGGCCATGCCCAGGTCAGCTTACCGAGAAATCCCTGAAATTGGCTGGGCTTCCAGTAACCGACCACCCAACCCTTCCCATGACCTTCCTAAGTCAGAATTCCCCCAGAGACATACTTGCTTACATAAAGGAAAGGATCCCATTTCAGGAGTAAGTTTTTTTTTGTTTGTCTGTCTGAAACAATGGATGCTTAGTCTTGAATTTTTGTATTTAACTCGACTGCCCTCTTGTGGAAGGAGCTATGAACCGTGCCTCAAGCTGGCACACAGGCTGATTATAAGCACAGACTGCGGGCCTACTGTGCAGGGAAAGAGAGTTGAATCAAGGTTGTGTGGGAGAGTGAACAGAGCCAAACAGCTCTAGAACCCACTAATTATGCTTCCCAGGGGGAGCTCCTTAGCCTCTGTGTTTCAGATTCCTCATCCGTATGCTAGAGAATGTAACCGTCCAATTATTTTTTGTAAATATTAAAGGAGGCAAAAGATTGTCCAATTGCCTGTATACAGTAAGCACTCAGTTGAACTTGAACTGAGCACACACTGGTTTGCATCCATGAGTATCAGTAAATCAGGCTGTTTGGAAATTCTTATGTGCACACGGGAAGACCATTCTCTAAGCCTGGGAGGAAACGCACCCTAACCCACGTTTGCTAAAGCTGGGTGCTACATGAGTAATCATGATCATTGCATTATAATTCACAATTGTCTCAGTGGTTTCAAAGACGAGGACCCATCAGATCCTCACCATGACCTAGGGAGCAGGTGCTGTCTCCTTATTTCAGGTGGGGACACTGAGGCACAGAGATGCAGAGAGGGTAAATGATCAGGTCACTTTGCCAAGCAGTGGCAGAGTTAGTTAGAATGGGGGTCACAAAGGCAAATGCTATGGGCCCAGGCAGGTGATGCAAACGAAAGCAGGGAACAGGACACCTGGAGGGACCCAGAGCATTGGACCGTGTGTAATCAGTCCAAAAAGAACAGTTCAAGGCCAGCTTCTTGGTGCCATGGGAGGATTCAGGAATTCAGATTTTACGTATTAGGTGAAACATACAAAATTGCTGACGTTCAACTATTTTTACCTCCACAAGCAGAAATTTCATAGAGTTAACTTGAAATTTTCCAGTTTTTAAAATAACATGCAGTTCAAATAAGACTTCTCTATGGAAAGTCCCTGTGCACAGGCCCCTAGCCTGTGACCCCTCCCAGCACAGCCCCTGGGGATCCTCTCTCTTGCAGAAGGAAAGAAACGGGCTGTTTTGGAAGCCAGCCACATCGAGGCTCAGGTTCTCTCGGAGAATTCCCATCCGTTTTCACAGCCTAATATGCTTACTGCTTTTATTTAGGACGTTTCAATCATGTCTGCAGGTCTGTGCCGTCCTCGCACAGTGATAAAGCAGCCATCTTGAACACCGAGAAACTATCCGATTATTTGGGCCAAGATCTATCCTGTATCTCCCTTTTTACGTTTGTTATTTAAATCCTTAAACTTATCTATAGGTCAGGGCGCCTGGGTGGCTCCCTCGGTTGAGCGTCCGACTTCGGCTCAGGTCACGATCTCGCGGTTCGAGCCCCATAGCGGGCTCGGTGCTGACAACTCGGAGCCTGGATCCTGCTTCAGATTCTGTGTCTCCCTCTCTCTCTGCCCCTCCCCCACTCACACTCGGTCTCTTTTTCTCTCTCTCTCTCTCAAAAATAAACGTGAAAAAAATTTAAACTTATTTAACAGGTGCCTATATGCACACCATTTACAAAACTGTATAAATACGGTCATACCCATGCTTGCCATGGTGACATCTTTTTTTTTTCCTTTTCTGCCAATTCCCTTCTCCCTCCTCCTGCTTCTCCGCAGCAACCTGACCCAGCCGATGGCCGTGGTAACCACCCAGCGAGTGTGGATTCATACTGCCCTCTGTGCTCAGCCAGTCCTGGACAGACACTAGGGCCGTTGGGTCATCGTAAAGGCACATAAAAGGATGTTTGCTTACTTGTTTTCTAAAAGAAAAATCACACAAGCGCCTAGTACCTTTTACCATATTATCATAATACGTGCGGCAGCATCCCGTCCAAATCAACTGGTATAGTTCCAGTGCGTTCTGTGTAACGGCTGCGCACATGTTTCTGGGGGGTGCACATCTATGCAGCTCTCCACCCTGGGTTTCTCAGTCACTTTGTCCCCAGTTTTCCGCTACAGTGAAAAACAAGGCAGAAGACATCCCAGTACATATGTCTTCACCCTGGGGTCTTTTTATTTCCCTGGGCTGCCTGGGCGGGAGCATCCATGTGTTTTTAATTTGAACGGCTGTTGCCCACTTGCCTCCTTAAAAACACTGTCGTCTTTCAGAGGTCCCCAGCAGCCTGTGCATGTGACAGCCCGCACGCACATGAGCTTTGGCAGGGACAGGAAGAGATGGCCTGGGGGTGGGCCTCCCCGCCAGAGGCCGGCTCCCCTTACCTGTTGTAGCTATGAACCAGGTCGAAAATCATCATGTCTGTGGTGTTGACAAACTTGCATTGGACCGGCAGGAAGTGCCCATCCGGAGAGCACTGAGGGGGTGACCTGTCTCCCACCCCGTGGAGGAGACGGCGGTTTCTTATCTCGCAGCTCCTAGGACCTACACATTTCAGAGGAAAAATTTTAAATTCTTAGATATCAGGGGCTCCTGGGTGGCTCAGTCGGTTAAGCGTCCGATTTCGACTCAGGTCATGATCTCACGGCTCCCAGGTCCGAGCCCTACATTGGGCTCTGTGCTGACAGCTCAGAGCCCGGAGCCAGCTTCGGATTCGGTGTCTCCCGCTCTCTCTGCCCCTCCCCCTCTCGTGCTACCCTGTCCCTGTCTTTCCCCAAAATAGATATTAAAAAATAAATAAATAGGGGCATCCGGGTGACTCAGTCGGTTGGGCATCCGACTTCGGCTCAGGTCATGATCTTGCGTTCATGGGTTCGAGCCCCACGTCGGGCTCTGTGCTGACAGCTCAGAGTCCGGAGCCTGCTTCGGATTCGGTGTCTCCCTCTCTCTGCCCCTCCCCCACTCACATTCTGTCTCTCTCTCTCTCTCTCTCTCACTCAAAAATAAAATAAAAACATTTTTAATAAATAAATAAATAAATGCATTCTTAGGGACAAGGAGGCACATTCACTTCTGCAGTCCGGACGCGCACATTCACACCACACGCGTGACATCGATCCACCACGTGGAAATATGAGCAGGGTACAGCCTTCCTAAGATGCTCCCATTGTCTGTACTGAGGCCCAGGTCCTCTGCCTTTTGGCCGGGAGGCCCGGCACAGTCACGGTTACGTGCGGAAAACTGGACGCCCTGGGCACGTGTGCAACGCTGGGGCCCCTGGCACTTACATCGCGTGGGCCTCCCCGGCTGGCGGGTCCCGTACACCTCCATCCCTTCCGCATCCACGCACCAGCACTGTCCCCGCCACGGGTCACACTGCACGGGCGCGTACTCCCCCGAATCCTGACACTGAGGGAGGTAGGATGTGGCCGTGCTGTTAACATAGCCTCTCAGCAGGATCTGCTGCCTCTGCAGCTGGCAGAAAGACAGACCTGAGGGTGCACAGAGCAGGGTCAGAGCTTCGGGCCCCCTCCCTGGACACGGGGACGCATCCGTCCCACCCACAACAACCCAGGGATCCTCAGAGAAGGCAGCCGGCTCAGGCCCAGCGCTCCGACTGTGCAACTTTATCCCAGGATTTCTCCCAGCAGCCTGTGGGCCAAGTGAGGGGGTGGGGGGCTCCACGGTGCCCTGTCAGTCAACCAGACACCCCACAGCCCGCGCGCTGCAGAGGGGAGGGGCAAATGCACTGTGGGCTGGCTGCTGGCATCCCACGGCCCTGCCCACTCCTTCGCTGTGTGGGCCTGGGAGTCCCTGCAGCACCCCCGGCCTCCCTTCTCGCCTCCAGGGTTGAGACACAACTGCCTTCCTCGGTGTCCGTGTGCATGTGGATTAGTGACCTTGACCATCACCACCCCCGCTGAATCCCTACCGTGTGCCCAGTGTTTTACACATGCTTTAAATCCGGTGAGGTGGAGCCTACGTTCCTGTCACAGACGAGGAACCCCAGCTCAGCGAGGGTAGGGGACCCGGCCAGGGTCATTGCGCCCGACAGCGCTGGGGAGCCAGCCTGCCCCCCTCCCCCCCCGCCCAACCCCCAAGCCCACAAGCCTGGCAGCAAAAAACCAGCACCCAAAACAGAGCTTTCCTCCTTAAAGGAGACCTTTGGTTCCGGGCTCAATCACACATTTTAAGATGACCAGCTTGAAGTGAACTTTGTTTTAGGCCTAGCCGTGACATGCTTTATGGGGGCGGGGGCGGGGGCAGGAAGGGCTGCGTGTCTTCCACTATTCGCGATAATGATTATTTTAACAGTGAAGAGTTCACCGAAGTCTCAAGTTTGAGACGCACCTGATGTGAGAAACACCAGGTGTATACGGCTTAATCCCGCTTCCAGGGGCCCCCAGTGTCCCCTGAGCTCAGTAGCTGACCGACTGTCCCCCTGGATTCTCACTGCAGCCCTTCAGGAAGTAGGGACTCGGGTGCGGGACCCCCAGCCTAACTGGAAGAGGAACATCCAGCAGCCAGAGGGAGACCCCCGTTCCCTCGGACGGCCCCTCACGCACTTACAGGCCACCGGCCGCCCGGGCTGCCTGCTTCCAGGCACCTCCTTGCCCTCGGCGTCCACGCACCAGCAGGAGCCACCGTCATCCTCGCACTGGACTGTCCTGCAGGCAAGAGAGACACCACACGCAGACAGAGTTACTGGGCCCCAAAGCCACAACCCGGCTTCCCTTCCTTCTCCCTTTCCCTTCTGTCAAGTTTTAATTCAATTAAATTAGGGAGAAACTGGGGCACCTGGCCTAGCTCAGTCGGTCAAGGGTCCCGCTTCGGCTCCGGTCACGATGTTATGGCGACATAAACAGGGCTGGCAAAGGTGAGCCTTCCCGCACCTCCTGTGCCCCTCCACCCTTCCCAGAGGCCCAAGCAGGGAGCAGAGCACAGCGTCTCTGTGCTCTTGCGAGGGCGGAAGAGTGCTGAGAACGCACAGGAAATGAAGGGAGGTGGGGATGCTTCCTGGGGGGGGGGGGGCGGTTCCCAGAGCACAGTCCACAGACTCCCCGAGTCCGGTGTGACCAGAATAGCAGGGAAAGTGAACATCCAAGCCCGCATGAAGGATCCCCGTGCATTCTGCTCCACCCAGGTCCCACATCCTCATCGGGGCCTTCCCTTCCCATCCACTACCCCTGCCCCTACCTGTCACTAGCCCCTGCCCCTGCAGGGTATCCCCCACCCCCCCCGCAGATTACCTCTCCACTCTACAGGGACAGGGTCCTGGATGCGAGTTCACGTTAGGGCAGCCCAAATCCCCTTCCAGAGAGGAGCTCTGGCTCCAGCTCTGACTTCTCAAGAGCACATGCGGGGAAGAGGCACCAAAGCAGAAATCACTCCGCCCCCCCCCCCCTTCATTACAGCAAATGGGCTGGGGCACCTGGGTGGCTCAGCCGGTTGAGCATCCGACTTCAGCTCAGGTCATGATCTCTGAGCTTGTGGGTTCGAGCCCCGCATCAGGCTCTGTGCGGACAGCTCAGAGCCTGGAGCCTGCTTCAGATTCGGCGTCTCCCTCTCTCTCTGCCCCTACCTCCCCTCTCTCTCAAAAATAAATAAACATTTCAAAACATTAAAAAAAAAAAAAAAAA